GGAGGAGGTATTGTTTCATATTCTCTGTGTGTATATAAAGTCTGCTGCAGTTTCCACGGTATGCATCCGATGAAGTGAGCTGTAGCTCACGAAAGCTCATGCTCAAATAAATTGGTTAGTCTCTAAGGTGCCACAAGTCCTCCTTTTTTTTTTGCGAATACAGACTAACACGGCTGTTCCTCTGATACCCGCAGGATAGTGAGTTTGTGTGTGTGTTTTTAGGAGGGGGGTGAGGGGGTGAGAGAACCTGGATTTGTGCAGGAAATGGCCCAACTTGATTATCATGCACATTGTGTAGAGAGTTGTCACTTTGGATGGGCTATCACCAGCAGGAGAGTGAATTTGTGTGTGGGGGGGTGGAGGGTGAGAAAACCTGGATTTGTGCTGGAAATGGCCCAACTTGATGATCACTTTAGATAAGCTATTACCAGCAGGACAGTGGGGTGGGAGGAGGTATTGTTTCATATTCTCTGTGTGTATATAAAGTCTGCTGCAGTTTCCACGGTATGCATCCGATGAAGTGAGCTGTAGCTCACGAAAGCTCATGCTCAAATAAATTGGTTAGTCTCTAAGGTGCCACAAGTCCTCCTTTTCTTTTCGGGTTTGAATAGAGGCTGGGAGTGGCTGGGTCATTACACATATTGTATCTATTTCCCCATGTTAAGTATCCTCACACCTTCTTGTCAACTGTCTAAATGGGCCATCTTGATTATCACTACAAAAGGTTTTTTCTCATGCTGATAATAGCTCATCTTAACTAATTAGCCTCTTACAGTTTGTATGAAGAAAAGGAGGACTTGTGGCACCTTAGAGACTAACAAATTTATCTGAGCATAAGCTTTCGTGACCTACAGCTCACTTCATCGGATGCATGGTGTGTATGGTAACACCCATTGTTTCATGTTCTCTATGTATATAAATCTCCCCACTGTATTTTCCACTGAACGCATCCGATGAAGTGAGCTGTAGCTCAAGAAAGCTTATGCTCAAATAAATTGGTTAGTCTCTAAGGTGCCACAAGTCCTCCTTTTCTTTTTGAGGATACAGACTAACACGGCTGCTACTCTGAAACCTGACAGTTTGTATGGTAACTTCAAACTTATCTGTATGTATGTGTGTGTGTGTAATATTTATCTTCTTTTATTATATGTTCCATTCTATGCATCTGATGAAGTGGCCTGTAGCCCATAAAAGCTTATGCTCTAATCAATTTGTTCATCTCTAAGGTGCCACAAGTCCTCCTGTTCTTTTTGCGGATACAGACTAACACAGCTGCTACTCTGAAACCTGACAGTTTGTATGGTAACTTCAAACTTATCTGTATGTATGTGTGTGTGTGTAATATTTATCTTCTTTTATTATATGTTCCATTCTATGCATCTGATGAAGTGGCCTGTAGCCCATAAAAGCTTATGCTCTAATCAATTTGTTCATCTCTAAGGTGCCACAAGTCCTCCTGTTCTTTTTGCGGATACAGACTAACACAGCTGCTACTCTGAAACCTGTCAATAATAGTCGTACCTATAGTTGGAGAGCTCAGGCATTTCTGGTTTAACTCCTGATCCTGCAAACACTTATGCAGGTGCTTAACTTTACTTCCATTAAAGTCATGGCAGGAGACCGCTCACAGGAGTAAAGTTAAGCACCTGCATAAAGATTTGCAGGATCGAGGCTTTGTGGGATACAGAGCATATATTGCTTATCATTATAGCCACAGATGGATTCCTTTAAAAGTCTCTGAAAAGTGGGGAGGGGGCTTTAAAAAGCAACAACATTTTACTCTAGGGAAAACTTAAGTAGTTTTTCCCTTGGTGATTCATAAACCTGCACTGAACTGGTAAAAGTGGCCAGGTCCCATTGAAAGCATAAGGGACTTGCATTTGTGAGCAGTGTTTGTGCATTACCTAACAAAATGGGCTCCTGGTTTTGTTTGATCCCCAGGCACTTCCATAATAAACATGAATAATAATAATAATAATTAATAATAACAATATTTAAATGAATGGAAGTTTGGCCAGTTTAAGCACAGCCTGTGATGTGGGGATGTTAATCTCTCCAAAGCCAGCAGATGGCAGTGTACTAACAGCTTGAACACTGAGGCAACCAGAGCTGTGTTTTGCCTCAGTGCCTTTCATCTGTAAAAAAATGTATAATTAACTGTGTTAGATAAATGCAGATTAAATAATGTTAGCAAAGTAGCTAGTATCTATTTAACAGTGTTATCAGAAAATGTGAAAGGGAATTTTCTGTTTTCTTTGTGTGACTTTTTGACACAGCTCTCAAAACTCTGCTAAGACAACTTCAGAGGTTGTAAAAAACAGAAAGCTGGTTTGTCTGGTCTTATCTACAGTGGGTTCTTGGTCTGTGTAGATAATAGGGCAAAGCAACCCAGACAAATGGATGATTGACTAGCCAGGTGCAGATCTCCCTAGTAAGACCAGCTAGGTCATAGACCGACAGTGACTGATCAGAACTAGCCATCCAGAAACTCCCAGGCCACAAGAAGCAGATAAGTAAGAATAAGACCATGGTAAGAAATAATGGAACACAGAAAAGCAATGAAAAGACAGCGGGATTGAGTCACGAGGAGGGTGGTAATGGTTTAAAATAGACAAGCAGGTACCAGTTAAAATTTTACAACGACCAGAATAAGTAAAAATGTATTAGAAGGATTTGGGGTTAGTTATTATGTTGTGTGCATGAAAATATATTGTTGGAAAGATCATAAGCCTGGGTCATGTATACAGGCCAGGGTAATACGCTTGCTCAGCTAACTGACTTTGGCCTAGTCTTTGTTTTTATTGCACCAACTTTGTTGGTGAAAGAGACAAGCTTCCACAGAGCCCTGCTTCAGGTCTTGGAAAGGAAAATTCGTCTCTCTCGCCAACAGAAGTTGGTCCAATAAAAGATATTACCTAACCCACCTTGGCTCTCTAATATCCTGGGACCAACACTGCTTCAATAACTCTGCCTGGTCTTTGCTTGACATGAGTGTCGCCTCGTGTGCGCTTGCTTAAATGTCGCTGCTAGGACAAAGGTGATATTTGGTAAGGTGCTGAAAGGCCGAGATAAAATGAAGTTAATCAGTACCTTCTTCATACACCAAATATAGTGGCCAAAAAGTCACTGTACTGGGAAAAACAGGAAAGTGCCTGTCTGGAGGAAGGTGATGTGCTGACATGAAAATAGCAAGGTCAGCAAACATTAAGTAAACTGTAGCATGCAGATGCGTATCGTAAGGTTTATTGGATTGTCACGCTGTGGAAAAGGCATAAACCTGCTAGAGAGGAAGGACATGGTTGGAGACCAGTGGGAGAAATCCATCATGACCCGCCTATGCCCCAGAAGGAGGTAATTGGACAATATCTTTTTCTGTATCTCTGTCATTCGTTGCTTTCTAATTGTAAACACAAGGCCATGCTTTTGGTTCAAATAAAGGTTTGAATTAATAAACCCGAGGGATGTGTGGCATGCCTCATCCAGCAATATTTAGAATAGAATATTTATAGTTAAACTCTTTTTAATAATCTGCACCGGCATAAAGGATGTGTGTGTAAGAAAGGGATGTGGAGCAACACAGGGCACCCACTCAACTGGACCAACACCGACCTGATGATGACAGAAACAGCCTACCTGTGCCCAGGACTGGGTAGCTGATCATTACCCTATCTTGCTCTGTTTGTTTTACTTCTCTCTTATGCATGATTCAGGCAGTGATATACACGCCAGATGTTTTCTTATTAAAGCTTTAAACTAGTGAAGGTTAGTAATTGATGGGGACTGGGCTTTTCACCCAACAGGCCTCCGCATCAATCTTAATTATTTGTAAAGCAGAAAAGAACCAGGAGGCCAGATCAGTTTTCATCCCTCTTTTACAGCTGGAGAACTGAGGTACAGAGAACCAAAACGATTTGCCCAAGGTCCCACAGCGTTGTGAATTCTATTCAATGGCAAGCTAGACAAGGGTTGCCAGCGTGTAAGGATAGGACAGCCCCCCTCGGGTATCTGTCAGAGGCCGGTTTGGTCCACCCAGGAAAGAGTCACGCGCTGTGGTCAGGGTTCCATCCCATGTGTCCCTCTGTCAGCAATGTCTATTCCTGAGCTGGTGGCAGGTGGCTTTTTAGGGCAATGCCGTCTGTGCCATCTCTCTCCATTGCCCAGAGTTGGGTACAGTTTGTCCTCATTGCTTTTCAGTGAGACGTCTTTTACGGGTCCTGATCATCTAAGCAAGTATCTTTCTCACCCTCCCTTGTATTTGGGACACTGGAATAGAAAGTGCCTGTCTGTTCCCATCTCCTTGGGTCGTAGCCAAAAACAGAACCGACAACTTCAGCCTCACAAGCCAACGTTCCAACACGAGGCAATACTCCCCGTAGGCACGCAGGAACCAGAAGAGGGGGGCAGCAGGTCTTTAGTTCCTCATTACATCAATTGCTGGCATATTTGCATCAAGACACAGCTTTTTGAGGTCTTCTGCCCAAGTGAAAGGCTGTGCAGACACCCAGGGTGCCATAGATACAGATCTGTAGAGAGAGATGTCATAGACTCATAGAAGATCAGGGTTGGAAGGGACCTCAGGAGGTCATCTAGTCCTACCCCCTGCTCAAAATGTATGTTGTTTTCTGCAGAATTTAAAACCCCGGAAGGGCCACACGCCCGGAGGAAAGTTTCAAAGGGTTTAGTTCAGTTTAGCTGCCTGCTGCCCTGGTCCTTGGGCCTCAGGGGAAGTTGTTTCCAGTGTCACACATCAGCAAGTGCAAAGGTGCAACCCCGAACACCTCAGCACCACTTCCCTTCCCGGAGACGTTAATATACCAGCCAGCGCCTGGGTGGGACCAAAATATCCACCCATCAAGGGCAATCAGCAGCAGCCGCCGCCGGCCTGCGTGTCCCCCCCCAGCCCCGCCCACAGGCTCAGTGCAGGGGAGTCAGAAATACTCCAAGTCTCCTGAAGCTTGCGCTGGAAGGAAACTCGCGTTTCTCGCTTCCCCCTCCGCTCTGTGCCGTCTGCAGCCAGGGCCCGCGGGCACACGGCTGCTAAGGGGGCTGCTGCCCCCCAGCTGCCCAGGAGCAAGGGCCTGTGATGGGCTCTTTATCCCTAGGCTAGCCTTGCAGTGGGGAGTCAGGTCTCTCCCGTCGAGCTTTAGACCCACGCCTGCTTTGCTGTGGGGCCTGGAGTAGCCCCCCCCCGCCCCGGCCCCTCACCGCCCACTCTCGCTCAGCTGATTTGTACCCGGGTGCCCAGCCACAGGCATTGGAGTTGGGGTGAGTGACCTGCGTGGGCCCCATCCCGCATTTCTTGACCAATCCAAAATTCGGGTGAATTGGAGGTTTTGGGTGGGGGGAATAAAGCCAGGATGCAAGATTCAGAGAGTGGCCTGAGTGTATTTTGGATGTGTTCAGTGCATTGCAAAGCCTTGGGGATCATTGCAGAAAAAAATTGTGTGTGGGGGGGGAGGGGGGGGTTGCAAAGTTGTGTCAGCGTCCTGGTTGTGTTGCATCCTGCAAAGGGTGTGGGCACCTGTGTCGAAGTGGAGCCTATAGACCTATGAAAAAAATCTGGGGAGGGGCTGCTCCACTCCCCCCCGCCCCATCCCCCTTGCCCTATAGCAACTGCTGTCCCGCTTGCAAAGGGTAGCGAGAATGTTGGTTAGCAAAGCGTTTCGCCTGCCTGGCTGTTGTTAGCAAAATGCCCCCTTGCCGCCCTTCCTGCAGGGTGATGGGTCCCTTCGTGTCTCTCTGGCAGGGGGGGGTTCCCAAGCTTCCCCCGCCGCCCGCGGCCTACCTGTGCAGCCTGTGGCCCGCCCTTGCTGCTTCTTGAGGGAAACGGTGAACATTCGGTGTGCCATCCATACACGCCATCCCCTTGCACATAAACACTGAGCCCGTTACCTGTGTGCTGCCACACCTGACCTCCCCGGCACGCTGCCCGCAGAGAAATGCTGCAAGACCTCAGAAGCCGCCCGGGTTTCGTAAAACCCCCATGGGGAACAAGTGCTGAGAGCCAAATGTGGTGGTCAGCGCACCCTTCCGCATAAAACCTGAACGCTCGGTCACGCACCCCTGTGCCCAGCATTGTTGAAAACCGCACTTTGCCCTTTGATTTTTTTTTTTTTTTTGTATTTTTTTTAAGCAGAATAGCTACATTTCTGTGCGGTGTGAGTAAAGACCCAACCCTGTTCTCTACTAATTAGAGAAGAAAAAATAGGGTAAATCCAGATGTAAAATAATTTGCAGACCAGGAGTCCTCTTAATGGGATGGCCGTGCCCGCTTCTCCTTGCACAGGTGTTCCAGCTGGGGACATATGTTCGTGAGACTCAAGCTGATCTCCCCTTCCATTTTCAGCCTTTCAGCCAGCTCAAGATGCAGGCAGGGAGTTGCTAGGGCCTGCATGCAGGTCGGTGGATAGCTCAGGGTGCAGTCAGGGGGTAGCTAGGGGTTGTGTGCAGAGGGGGTGTAGCCAGACAGCCAGCCCCCCCCCCCTCTCAGACCAGCATTGCTGGGAACACAAGGGAGCCAAAACAACAGGGCACTTAACATCAATTCCAGCACAGCCTTTGAAGCTGTGAGAAGCACAGGTGTGCTACTACAATGTGCCTCTGGGAAGATATACAACGATTAGGCTCCCAGCAGACAAAGAAGCTGTGACAGACATGGCTCTTAGCCCCTACTAAATAGCGTGATGCACACACCCCAACATCCTAGGTGGGAAAATATTTACCCTAATGAAAGGAATGTCCAGTAGTCGACACTTATTGTTTCTCTCTCTTGCAAGTGTAAACTACTCTTGTGAGAGCTGGCGTCGCCCAGACAGACCAGCCCCAATTTGGCATAAGAAAGGAGAAAGAGAATAAAAGAGTACAGAGGTATAAGTATGAGACCTGCAGCACCATGATTTTTGAGTGCTTTTCACTATCTATCTGCTGGTCAGATAAGTGACAGCCTCCCAAGGCTTCTGCAGCTAAGAGGGTCCCTAAGCCTTGTCCCTTATTCGTCTTTCCGCGGAATTGAGTGACCGATCCTGGCTTGGCACCGCTGGAATCGAGAGATGCAAGGAGGGTAAGAAGCACCCACACCTGATCTCCTATCTTTAGTGTACACATATTTTGAAATAGAGCTCTATACTTTGGTTTCTCTCTTTGGGATTGTGGCTTCAGTTTTGTGACTTGTTTGTGTGTGTAACATCTCTACATTTAAATAAGTAGGCACTAGCAATTTTGTAACCACATGATTAGAATCTAGTTTAATAAATTTTGGTAACCATTTGTGCATAAGCCTGACTTGTTTCTCTGGTTTACTGTAAAGCAGCCAACACAATTAAAGAACCTCAGCCGTTTTGGCTCTAAAGCCTGGCCATTAGGTGAGAGTACTAAGAGCCTAGCGTTGAGTTGTGCTGCCTCCACGGGGGCAAACTCTTGGGGCGCCTGTCAGTCAATCCTGACTGCCCACTGCGAAGGAGCTCTGAGCTCTAGCAGTTAAAGTCACGGGTGTTTAGGACCTTGGGGCATCTGTCAGCCTAGCCCAGGCTGCCCGCCATGAAGGGACAGTGCGTCCTAGCGGTTAAAGTCACGGATGGTATAAAACGGGCATAGCTGGCACCTCACCAAACATCCTTGGCCATCGGCTAACAGAGGGGTGTAGCTCAGGGTGCAGAAAGGGGGTAGCCAGGGGTTGTGTGCAGAGAGGAGTGTAGCTCAGGGGGCAGAGATGGGATAGCTCGGGGCTGTGTGCAGAGAGGGGGGTAGCTCGGGATGTAGGGAGGGATTGTGTCCGAGGGGGTGCTGCTGCAGGGCCCAGCTGTGCACTCAGTCCCTGGTTGGCACAGTGTGGGAATCTCCACTCCTTGTGGCTGTGTGTGCACTCGGCCGGGCCATGCCGGCCCTACACTGTTACTGTGGCCACCAGCACCCAGTGGTTCGTGGGCACCAAGGCCTACATCTGTCTGAGCCTGGAGGGCGTGGTGGCCATTACCCAGCCCATATGGGGAAACTGCCCTGGACGCACAGCGTGGTTGGCGTCACTGCTGGGCCCCCCCAAAAAAAACTCTGCCCATGATGGCAGAGCACCCAGGACTGTGCCCACAGTTTGGGAACCCCTGCTTCGCGGTTTATAGAGCATATTTTGCTCCTGGGCTGGAATATGGGCCAGGTGTTTTTGTTATTAATTACACCATTGTGAAAAGGCAGGCCAGACGAGATCGATAGGACTAGCACTGAGGGTTTGGCTTGTAGTAATGCCCAGAAACCCTGATTATGCTGGGTGCTGTGTGGAAACAAGAGAGAGCCAGTTATTGAGGAATTGCTATTCTAGTGTTATTCCTGGGCGCTTGGGCTTGTCTACACATGAAAGTTAATCCAGTATAAGGTAACGTGTGAATTTAAAGCAAGAAACTATTCCTGATAAAATCCATGTGTGGATGCTCTCATTCCAAACCTTACCTTAATCTGAGCTAACTATCAAGTGTGGACAAGCCCTAAGTGTACAATTTGGAAGTCCACAACTTTTATTGGGAAAGTTTCAAACAAAAGGCTTCCCCCACCAATCTTAAATAAAAATGGCATTTATAAAAACTGACCTTGTCCCTGTGCTCAACCTGCCTGGGCATTTTACTTGTTTCAAGTTCCTTATTCAAAAACTGAAGTTAATTGGTCCCGGAATCAAGTGGTCTATTTTGAGAGGCAAGACAGTGTTGCCTGCTCTGGTGGTTTTATTGCAATATTTCCTGTTTGCTTTAAAGCTCCAGCACTCAGAGATGCATGGTTAGTTGGGAATCTTAGTTTTCATTAAAAGTAAAAATAAGTGAAATTGTGACCCGAATGCATCCTGAGGGCCCAGAAAACAGAAGGAAAATAGAAAGAACCCCCCAAAATATTATTTTTTTAAAAATGTCATGATTTTGGGCGGCCTGACTCCATGATTTTGGAACATTTGGGGTTAGCAGTACTGCATGTGTCTTGGGAAAATCAATGGCCAGTCCCCCCACCCCTGCTCTCAAAGTGCTTTGTGAAGGCACAGAAGTTTCATCATGCCGACTCTACAGGTGGGAAACTGAGGCCCGGAGAGGGGATGTGAGGTCACAGAGTGAGCCAGTGCCAGAGCCGGAAAAGAACCATAACCCCCCACTCCCAAGCCCTGCTGTTTGTTATTGCATCCAGTTTGTTTTCTTTTCTGACCCATTTCTCACAATGCAAATAGATGACATCAGTTTCATTTTTGTTTATGGTCAGTTTCGCTTTCAGGCTCTTAATGGGCCAGCATTTGGACTGCAGAGGGCAGGACAGTGTTTATCTATTTCAAACAGCTTTCACTGGATTTTTGTGTGTGCAATATCCTTCCTACTGGTCATAGCTTTTATAAAAGCTTTTATTTACCGTGAGTCTAGCTGAGGCCAAATTTAAATCTGAAGCATTCATTTAAAATTGCAGGGGATAGTCCTGGGCAGTGTAGTGAAGGAGAGCTGCTAAAAATAACAGGCCCCAGACCCCTCCTGGGGCTAAGTACACTCAGCGCTTATCACCTTCAGTAGGGCTGAGAACAATCTGCAGTGTGCCGCAGGTCCAAGACTGGGCCCATGGAGGTTTTTTGGAGTGTTCAGCACATGTGACCTCCTAAGGCCAGTGCTGGGGGGCAAGGGAGTGTTTTCCATATTTCTCACTGCAGACGCTCGGCATGATAGATTGTACTGCCGGAGTTGCCCAAGCCAGTTCGCAAGGCTGCTCACGTGAATGAAGGTGGTAGGATCAAGCCCCTAAGGCCCCGTCAATGGACAGTTGGTGTCGGTAGGCTTTGTATCAGGTGTGTGTTCGCCTGTCACCAGTGCTTTTCATCCGTAGTGGGAATGGTAGTTAGGACACGTGCTCCGGAGCTGTTCCTGACCACGTGCAGTGGATTTCCGTTAAGGGCAAGTGTCATGTAGGCTTCACACATCCACCATCTGAGAGCTGAGCTGGTGTAAACTTGCAATGAGCAGTAAGGGGGCTTCTCAGTCATGTTCCTCCAACTCCATTGAGCCAGCTGGGCTGAAAGCCACCCCCTACGAACCTGTGGAGACAGGGCCTGGAAGGGGACATAGAATCATAGAATATCAGGGTTGGAAGGGACCTCAGGAGGTCATCTAGTCCAACCCTCTGCTCAAAGCAGGACCAATCCCCAACTAAATCATCCCAGCCAGGGCTTTGTCAAGCCTGATCTTAAAAACTTCAAAGGAAGGAGATTCCACCACCTCCCTAGGTAACACATTCCACAGCTTCACCACCCTCCTAGTGAAAAAGTGTTTCCTAATATACAACCTCAACCTCCCCCACACGCTCTACCCCCCTGTAGTGCTCTCTCTCCCTATCAGCTGGTGACGCTGGCCTACCTAATAACGGATGACTCCCCTGTTGACCAATATATGCTGGTCTAATAAATACATATCACATGATCAATATGTACTGTTTGGGCTACGGATATCAATATGCATTAAACACACAATAATTTACTCCTGGGGGAATTCTGCGCCAAAAAAATAAAAATTCTGCTCACAATATTTTAAAATTCTGCAAATTTTATTTGTCAAAATAACACTACATAATCACGCCAGTTTCATTTATTTTGGTAATTTATTTCAAAATAGCTGTCAGCAAGTATGTCTGTAACAATACAGACCCACACGCAAAAATTCCCCCAGGAGTAGAGAGTTAAAGAAACCCCTATGACAAGGCAGTTTCTCGCCCCCCGAGCCCTTCCCTCCTGAGCCCAGCCGCAGGGCCCCCCCTTGCCCAGACACCTCCCTTTCCCCTAGAGCCCAGGGATCCAGAAGGAGAAACAGACTGATGCTCGGTCCCAGGCTGAGTTTCCTGTGTGCCACCCTCTCCTTCCCTCAAGGCATGCTGGGAACTGCAGCTGCCAGGATCCCTCTAGCTCCCTCCCCACAGCAGTGTCACCTGCTAGTGGCAGCTAGCAGTACTGCAGCCCATTTCTGGGGGGGGGGAAGGAAATCCTGAACGCACAACCTTAAATTCTGCGTTGCGCAGTGGCGCGGAATTCCCCCAGGAGTAGCAATATCAACGTACAGCAGAACCTCAGCGTTATGAACACCTTGGGAATGGGGATTGTTCGTAACTCCGAACAAAACATTATGGTTCTTCTTTCAAAAGTTTACAGCTGAACATTGGCTTAATACAGCTTTGAAACTTTGCTATGCAGAAGAAAGATGCTGCTTTTAACCATCTTAATTTAAATGAAGCAAGCACAGAAACAGTCTCCTTACCGTGTCAAATCTTTTTTAAAACTTTCCCTTTATTTTGTTTAGTAGTTTACATTTAACACAGTACCGTACTGTATTGGTGGGGGGTGTTTTTTGTGTGAGGGTGGGGCTTGTCTCTGTATGTTCAGTCATGAACGAGGAGTAATGGTCTCAAGCTGCAGTGGGGGAGGTTTAGATTGGATATTAGGAAAAACTTTTTCACTAAGAGGGTGGTGAAACACTGGAATGCGTTACCTAGGGAGGTGGTAGAATCTCCTTCCTTAGAGGTTTTTAAGGTCAGGCTTGACAAAGCCCTGGCTGGGATGATTTAACTGGGAATTGGTCCTGCTTCGAGCAGGGGGTTGGACTAGATGACCTTCAGGGGTCCCTTCCAACCCTGATATTCTATGATTCTATGATTCTGCTGCTGCCTGATTGTGTACTTCCGGTTCCAAATGAGGTGTGCGGTTGACTGGCCAGTTCGTAACTCTGCTGTTCATAACTCTGAGGTTCTTCTGTGCCATTAGATTATATATATATATTTCAAGCAGTTACACGGCCTGAATTGGCCTCTGTCTTTCTATAATCCTGTACACTTGTGCTAAGTATCATACAGCACCTTGCATTAGCTGAAGTAAACTTCGGCTTAAGAAGATAGTAAAACTGTCAGGAACAGAACATGTGGATGTTTTACCATAGTAACGGGTAGGGAGTTAGTCTCTCTGACCAATCCTGGAATTGTTGGGATATACATATATATATCAATATACATTGTGATTTATATCTTTATGTAGAAATATGTTATAGGTTATTGAGGCCTGGTATGAATGACGCATGCTTGACATGAATACATGCATTGTAAGTTGACAACCGAAGCAAGAACTTAAGGTCAAGGACTATTAGAACTATTTGTGCAAAAACAATCTTGTTATGTTCCGACAAAAATACGGAAAATCAGCAGAAAAGGAAACAATACCAGCTGGACTGATATAAAACGGTATAAGAATTGGAGGAAATGGCACGTCTTGGATCATGGCGGCCCATCTTGGATCATGGCGGCCCGCCCTGGATAGTGTCTTTGGAATTGTGTGGGTAGAAGGCCTAGTAAACAAAGGCAAAGAACCGATGACGCGATGGAATGGACTATAAATGGTTGCCTATGATTTCTACAAATCGGAGTCGTTTATTGATCTAGAGTCCATGTGGATATAGATGTGGTTTTCACTGGCTCCCCTCATCTTACAATCTTATGATCAGAAGGAATCTCGACTGGCCATCAGGATCATTCTAACCTTTGGACTCTGGTATAGTATGTTTGGGGTGTGAATGTGGAGTGAGTAAGGTTTGTTTTGTAATCAAAAAAGAGCATTTTAGAGTATTATATACCAACACTGTGTCCGATATCTGCCTATTCCCCATCCCGTAGGGAGACCTCTGTTGCAAGTCTAACAGAATGTCTCAAAGATAAGGACAAGATATATGAGTGTTCTACTCTGGAACAAGCCCAGGGGATGCCTTCACGCCCTTGGTATCTGGAATGGCTGAGTTCAGAACAGAGAGCTAACAGGTACAGCATGGTACCAGAAAAACAAAGTAGAAAGATGATTGGTTAAATCTAGCCTCAGATGATGCATACAGTATCTCGTTACTTGTGGAGGGGTTGGACAGAAAAAGGATAGCTTGAGGGGTGTAACTTTGGACCCCTGCCTTCTTTGTAACCACGCTGCTTCCTGGAAACGGGTATTGTATTGAAACTTTTTACCTCTACTCCATTATTACTGACTTTGAGCTGTAAATCTGACTGACTTTGGTTATGTACTCTCTTGAGTATATTTCGTAACAAGCCAAAGTGCGGTCAAGCAATTGACTGTACGGTTTACCAACAAACTGGGGTAAGAGAAATCGTGGAAAATTGGTAGCAGCTGACTTTGGTGTGGCAGACAGGTCTGCGATCCTACTGACTTGTATAAAACGTGCCCTAAGGGCAGGGAAATGTACTAATAGCAAAGCGAGGGGTGTTACCGAAATGGAAAAGGAAGTCAGTGTAGCTAACCGCCACGCTTCAGCGGTGATAAACAAGTGGGCTATGAAGGGCTGAGGTCTGTCTGTGCTGATTGATTGATTGAGTTATGTGGGGTTTCAGTTGTTAATCAATTGAACTCACAACATTTCCCTCCCCGCCCCTTTTCTCCCAGGGCTTGAATGAGGAGGGGTTTCGCCTTGAGCAACAGGATGTTCCCCGGAAGAAGGCACCCAAATGGTTTCTTCTACGTAAGTGGCTTCGGAGGGGAGGAGATGGTGTAACCTGGTGCTGCGGGAAGAGATGGGACCGTTGCAGAGTTTGCTCGTTCCCCGGGGGACAAAGAGTTAATTTCCAAATGGTTCAGCGTGCCCTGGACATGGCTGGGGAGAGGAGGGAGTTGTAAGCATGGACGGAACGATAAGGTCACCAGTGACAGGAGGCGCCTGGTTTTCTCCCTTCTCAGTCTACTTTCCTTGCTTTCCAAGTGGGAGTCAGAGTGTGTATGAGGGAGGGAAATGGTGGTGTTCCACCCAGTCCTTGGCCAGGCTCCCTGAATAGCTGGCTTGTTTCCACCAATACAACCAGCAGCGAAATGGCTGATGGTGTCAAATATTGTACATCCCCGTCATTAGGCTCCAGAGTTAATGGTCAGTTGAGATGAACTTGGGGGGCCAGTCACACCTCTTTCCTGACCATGGAGCTACACAGCAAGTTCCATCTCTGATGTAAATCCATTGTCTCCGAGTCTCAGACAGGCGTTGTGTCATGGCCCTGGGAACAGCTCTGGCCTGCCTCCATCAGAAGCTGCAGCTGATTCAGGGGGCTCGTTGCTGACTTGTATCTCATGTTTGCTGTGATGCTTTGGGAATGGGAAGAACATGTGGAATAAGAGGCGTTTCAGTCTCCCCTTTGCTTCAAGAATTGTTTCCCAGGAGTAGGTTAAAAATGTGCCCGTTCCCACCCATGTAACTGTGCCCCCCGCGGTCCACCTGCTGAGAGGCAGCAAGGAGAGTGCTGTCACTGAGGTAAAGGAGAAGATCCTGCCTCACCATGTGTCATGCTCATCGCTGCCCTCCCCCCGCGCCACATGTATCCTCTTTGCAGCCCTGCCCTCAGGACATCAACCCCTCCGCCTACCCTGCCGACTTTCGCAGGGGTGACGAGGACATGGGGTGGGCGCCCCAGGACCATCAGCAGGCAGCCAACTGGGATTACCGACACAGGAGACGCGGGGAAGGCTTCAGGGACAGGTGGCACTCGGTAAGTGGGTCTGGGCTGAGCCTGGAGGGGCATTGTGCCCAGGCAGAGCATGGGAGGTGGGCCGCAGGTGAGCTGGGGCTAGGGCAGGAGCAGGGGACGTGGGTCGTAAGGACGATGTCCCGCGGAGAATTCTTGGGGCAGGCATAAGCAATCGCTGCTTGGGCACAGCTCTGTGACCAACATGCAAATGAGTGGAGCCTTCCTGAGTGGCGGGGAGGATGTTAGGCTGGTCAGGAAGACGGGGAGGGAGCCCTGTGAGGGTTAGGGGGTCCAGACTGGCTCTGTCAGGTGTCCTGATCTGGCCCTGCTTCCCAGGGGTCACAAACCCACCAAACCATAGGAACAGGCCAAGCTGTTCCATGCCCGGGGCTTGATTCACCCCCTGAGGACCAGCCAGTATCCTTCCAGCTAATGCTTCCCAGGAGAACATCTTAGCTGTGTCACCTGCCTCTGGCTGCTGTTGTTCCAGGCCACCCAGGCCATTCCTGCTGCTCACTCCCAGAGAGCCCAAGTGCCCTAGCAGGGGCCTGGGTGGCTGGACACCTAGGCTCTAATCCTGGCCATGCCACTGACTTTCTGTGTGACCCTTGGCAAGTCATTCGACCTTTTCTTGCCTCAGTTTCCCCAGCAGTTAACCACAAGCAAACAGGGTTTGCCCACCTACCTCACAGTTGAGTGCCCTAAAGCAGCAATGGAGAGGCACAAAACAGTGACTGGCTGAGAGAAGGTAAATGGGTCGCTCCTATTCACCTTCCTTCATCGCCCAGGAAAAAGGGGACATTGATTAAACTGATTGGAGCAGGTCCTTTTATTTACACTACCCGTAATTAACCTGGGGCCTAGAGTTCAGTCAGGTTCAAAGGGGAATAGACATTTACTGATGTGGATAATGTGACTATTTGCAGTTACATTCACAGGCTAAAAAGACCACGTAAAGGCTACAAACCTTCATGCTTCAGGGTAGGAGATGGCCGCTAACTGATGGGGTCAGGCAGAAAATTCCCCTTTGGGCCACTTGTTCCATAGTGTTCGTTGCAGGGGTTCTTGCACCGTCCTCTGAAGCAGCTGGTGCTGCTCATTGACGGAGATGGGATACTGGAGTAGATGCCCCCTCCCGCCCCTGTCCCAGATCTGATCCAGTCTGGCAATCCCTATGAATGAGACCTCAGTCCCTGTGACACAAAGGCAGGTCGTGCATCCCCACGTGTCTCACTCAGGACTGCCCTCACCCCACGTGTTGGGTCTTTGCAACCCTTTTCCCAAGACATCGAACCCTGCCCCGCTGACTTTTACGGGGGTGACACGGGCAGGTGCTGGGCACCCCAGGACCATCTGCAGCCAGCCAGGTGGGAGAACCAACCCGGGAGGCATGAGGAAGGCTTCAGGGGTGGTTGGCACTCGGTAAGTGGGGTCCAGGCTGAGCCCTGCTGCACTGTTGTGTGCATGCAGACAGTGCGAGGGCTGTGGATAGCAGAGAGAATTCCTGGTTTGTCTGTAAGTGACCAACGCAAGATCTGCTTGGCTGATTGAGCTGGTCACGGCTCCGGGGGAGGGACGCCCATGAACAGAGCCTCCCTGAGAGGTAGGGAACGAGGAATTCAGAGACCACAGTATTAAGGGGGTCAGGAACTAACCGTCGGAGGAAGGGGGGCAGGTCAGGAGCAAAGGGCAGAGAATGGGGAGCACCGGCAGGGTCTGAGGGTCAGCACTGCCTCTTGTTGGAGTCCTGACCAGCCTCTGCCTCCCAAGGGCTATGAAGTCTGGGAGCAGGCCAAGGTGTTACATCGTTGTGGGCTTGACTCTTTCCCAGCAAAAGCAAGGGGGCAGGAGGGGAAGATGGGGCAGGAGGGGAAGATAGGGCCTGAAGTGCTAATGCCCCCCAGTTGAAGGGGGGTGGGCAGAGGAAGACGATTGCCACCTGCCTGGGAGGGAAAGGGCCGGAGGCTTATATCTGGACCCGAGACCCCTGCCCCCACTGACGGTGTTCCTCTTAGTACTGCCGTCCCAAGCCATCTTGTTTCGTACAGTTCACTCCACATTCTGGTCTGGAGTTTAGAGCAGGGGCCTGGGCGTCAGGACACCTGGATTCTGTTCCTGATTCTACCACTGACTCGCTGTGGGACCTTTGGCAACTCGCTACACCGTCTGTGAAATAGCACTCCTCCAGCTGACAGCCCTGGGAGCTCCTTGGGAAACCACCCCTGCCCACCTTCCCTCTGTGATTTAACAAGGAGGGAACCCCTGAGAGTGGGTTGTAAAATAATGAATGGGGGAGATGGTAGATTCGGGGGGGGGGGTGCCTGCTGACCTTCCCACCCAGTCCAAGAACAAGAAGACAGCCAATGACCTTGGAAGGAAACTGAAAGCTCCTAAAAGGAAACACTGTTTAGTCCGGGTGTATAAATTAACCTGTGTAACTCATTGCCACAAGGTATCATACTGAGGGCAAAAGCTCCGTAGGATTTCCAATAGGATGAGACCTTTATAGGGACAGTGAGAGCTTCCACAGTTGTAGTTCATAGGATAAAAATATCATGTAAACGCTACAAATCCTCAGGCCACTAACTGATGGGGTCAGGCAGAAAATTCCCTTTTGGGCCAGCTATTCCATAGTGTTCACTGCAGGGGTTCTTGCACCTTCCTCTGAACCAGCTGGTGCTGGTCATTGATGGAGACGGGATGCTGGAGTAGATGGCCCCCCTCCCGCCCCTGTCCCAGATCTGATCCAGTCTGGCAATCTTTGCGAATGAGATCTCTCTGTCCCTGTGACACAAGGGCAGGTCATGCATCCCCGCATATCTCACTCAGGACTGCCCTCACCCCACGTGTTGTGTCTTTGCAGCCCTTTTCCCGAGACATTGAACCCTGCCCCGCTGACTTTTACGGGGGTGACAACGGTGGGTGCTGGGCACCCCAGGACCATCCGCAGCCAGCCAGGTGGGAGAACCAACCCGGGAGGCACGAGGAAGGCTTCAGGGATGGGTGGCACTTGGTAAGTGGGGTTGGGGTTGAGCTTTGGTGCGCAGGGCACCATTGTGCCCATGCAGACAGCGAGAGGTGGGCAGCGGTCAGACTGGTGTTGGGGGGCGGGCAAAGGATAACACTAGTATAATCTCTGCAGGGCTGGTTACAGTGCTGGGGATCCCAAGTGAACGGAGCCTTCCTGTGCTGGACAAACCAGAGGGATGTTCTGCTCCCACCCTGCAAACTCGGGGAGAAACGCCATGTAGTCTGTCCTCTGTCATGTTCTGCAGGAGACGTATTGGAGCTGATTTCTTTATCACTGTATACAGTCTCTCATGGGGCATGCTATATGTTGGTGAATCTGGCAAGTCCGAGCCTGCAGATCTGTCCGTCTGCCACTTGGATCTGCCTTGCCCCTGGCTCCTAGCTCCCTGCACTTACCCCTGGAGCATGACCCATGTACATCCATGTCCTGAGGGCTCTTTGCTGAGGGACTGGAGCTGAGCAAACGTGTCCCCAGTGTGTGCGCACCCCCCCCCGCCCCTCTTATACTGCACTGCTGCTGTTCTGCATCGTCAAATTTCAGAAGAGTCCCTTCCAGAGAAGTAGCATGGTCAACTCTATATAAAGCAGGGGACTGGGAACCAGGACACCTGGGTTCTATCCCCAGACTTTGGGAGCGGAGCGTTGCCTGGTGTTTAGATCAGGTGACTGGGAACCAGGACGCCTGGGCTCTGTTCCTTGCTCAGGGAGGCGGAGTGAGCGAGCAGGTCTCCCCTTGCTCTGCCTTGTTGAGCTTCTGCAAAGCACCCTGTGCAAAGCGCCCAGAGTTACCCCGCCATCTCCACAACCTGTGTAACAAGTCTCCCTTTTCTCAGGCCACGCCACCTAACCAGCACTGTCTGAAGTCAATATCAAGGGAGGAACATGGCAACTCCTGGGACAGGCAGGTGTCGGCAGGGGACGCACGTGGGTGTTGGCGGGAGCAGGGTGTTTTGGCTGGCGGGGATGGGCCTATTGCCTGGGGCCGAGGCTCTGAAATTCCAAGGGGGGCCTACAGAGAGGTTCGCTGAGTGGGCCAGATCCCAGGCGAGGGTTGCCCAAAGAGCACATCCAATCACCCTGCAGTGCTGGCGTGACCCACAATCTGCACTCAAGTCAAGTGATCCCAGGATAGCCCACTGCTCCCAGGCTCATCTCTGGCTGGGCTGTTCCCACTGCTGCCACTTTTCAGCTGTGACTGTCCGGGCAGCACCACTCTAAGGGGGATAATCTCATCTGGAGGGAGAAGGGGAAGGACACGGGTGGGGTTGCCGGGAGGGTAGATACCAGGGGAAGGAGGAAATGGGCGTGCCGGCCTGGGGAAAGGTAAAAGCAGCCGGCCAGCCCTGGAGGTTGGAGCGCCAGGGTGGGATCTAAATACCAGTGGGGACCTGGCTCTGCCCTTTGTCTGGAGCCCCGGATGGAGCCTCCAGGGCTAACACTTTCTTTTGACCAGAATGAGAGAAGCTACTCACAGGGCCACCTGTTCCTTCCGCAGGGAGCGAGGCTTCTTCCCCAGGAAGTATCGTGGCCGCGGCTGGAAGCATCACCGCGGCCCTTTCCGAGGCGGCTACCGGGGGAAATTCGACCCTCACTACCACCGCTTTCAGTCTTGCTCCTCCAGAGGTCAGTCCCTTGGGGGGCCTAGGCCATACACCATATGGGCTCCTTAGCCCCGGAAACAGCCCCTGGGTGGCAATGCCCCATCCCGAGCTGCATTCCAGGGTCTCAGCACTGCGTGAGAAAGTCCTGCCAGTTCTGCCTGCCATGGAGGTGTCTCTGGCCTGGGGAGCAGGGTCTGGATCCCCGGGGATCGATCGAGGGGTCCCAGGAAGAGCGGCAAGCAGGGCGGTATGGGGCACAGCTGACTTTCAGCACGTGGCTCTGTTAGGAGAAGGATTCAGGGGTGGAAGGAGGAAGACTGAAGCCCATAGGAGAGGCTGGGTGGCAGAATCTGCCTGGGCTGAGGAGCGGCCCAGGAGGACCCATCTGATTTTTCTCCACCCAGCATGGGGCTGGGACTGGAGGGCAGTGTTAAAACCAGAGCTCCTGCCCCTCACTCAGGAGGAGGAACGTGGCCCGGCCCCCATAGGCCCAGCATCCCTGCTGCCCCCTCGTTCTGTCTGCCTCATTCTGTCCCTGTTGGTCTCTTTGCAGAAGAGTTCAAGTCGTCCAGGTCGTCGGCCTCCCGCTCCCCAGAGAGACGCTCGGCGGTAAGAGGAGAGCGGCGTCTCTCTGCTTCCCGCCAGGAGGGCGGCGGAGGGGATGAGCCGGGTTCTGGAGTCCAGCCCCTCCTGCTTCTCCGCGCCCCAGCCAGGCAGGGGGCAGAGGGGCCGGTGAGGAGGAATTGGTCTTATACCCAACCCGCTTGTGGCTGGGGTTCCTGCTTGCGCTGCTTGGCCAGCCTTGAAGGGTGACTGCCCGTGGGGACCCACCGAGTAGACACAGGGTGGGCGCCCCCCATGCGTGACCAAATCCTCCCCCCCCTTACACGAGCATGTCACAGTCAATGGGGCTGCCTCAACGTAACCGAGCGGAGAACTTGGCCCTTAGCTGCTGTGGAGTTGGTCGTGGTGGGCATTCCCCAGAGCAGTAAGTCTCACCCGCTGTCTTTCAGCCGAGGACGGTCCATGGGCCAGGGAGGGGAAGGGAGATGCCCAAAGTCTCACTGGAATCCCCAACCACAGCTAGAAAAGCCTGCAGGCTGCTAGCCAAGGAGGGGAAGGCTGGCCCAGTGGTTAGGGCCTGAGCCTTGGATTTCAGAGACGTGGGTTCAATTCCTGCTCTGCCACAGTGTCGCTGTGTGACCTGTAAGGTAAGGTAAGTCACATAGTCACTCTGTGTTTAGCCCGGCCTCACAGAGGTGTGGCAAGGATAAACACAATAAAGAATCTGAGGGGCTAAGATAAAGCAGTAATAGAGGGCCATAGGAAGACATAAGAGAAAGAGAGATTCCAGCCTCTGCTCTTTTTCCTTCCTCCAGTCGAGTAGAAAGAAAAGTGTTTCGTCTAAGACAGAGAAAGCGAAAACAGCAGCGCCCAAGAAGCCTGGAAAATCCAAGAAAGACTCCGCAGCTCCAGTGGAAGAACCCAAACCACCCCAGGTCAAGGGCGGCGGGGCGGGAACGGGCTGGGTTTCCTGGCCAATGGATGGGTCCCAAGGACGAGGTTGTGTCCTAAGTCCCTTGGGTGTAGGGGGATTTGTGTGAAACTCGGGTGCTACAGGGTATGGGGAGAGAGGCGGGTATTGTCCCTGCCCAAAGAGCATTCAATCTAAGGTGGGGCCATAGGAGAAGATAACCGGCACAGCCCCTTTCCCTAGCGACTTTTTGATGCCTACTCACTCTCTTAGAGCAAGGTCATCGTCTTATTGGAAATTCTTTTTCCCAGCATGCCTTGCTGGGATGGGCCCTCTATATTTGGCAAAGGCAAGCAGCAGCAGCCTTACCAGGGCCATTTTGCAGCAGGCAGCTGCTGACTGCACCTCCCTCTGTTCCAGCTGAGAAGTCCCTGGTGCGGTTTCCCCTTTCATCTCCTTGCTGAGGGCTCAGTCGAGTTCTTGGAGATGCTGAGTGAATCTCAGGTACAGAAGCCTGCTAGGGGGAGATTCGTTTCCCCTTTCTTAGGCCCAGGTACAGGCTGGTGATTGTTCTGCCGTAGCGAGGGTGTGAATTAAGTGCTGGTGAAAGGTGCTGCACTGGCAGCCTCATGGCCAACATCGTGGCGTGAAGCTGTAGCCTGGGAAAGGGAACGCAAGCTCACCCGTTTGCTGTCCTCCTCTGGTTGTCTAATCTCCTTCCCTCATCCCATCTGAAACCTCTGTAGGTCCAGCCGGAAGCTAGCCAGACAGCCACAGACCCTTCCAGCCAGGCCGGCTCTGCACTGGATACTGAACCCCCAGCTTCACCTGAAACCACAGAGGATCTTCATCCCATGAGAACGGAAGGAACTGAGCTGGTAGGAACTAACCCAGCTCTTCTCACTCTGCTTGGAGCAGATGTGTTGGTGCCCTAGAGCATTGCAATAGCCCCCTTGCGCTAGGCGCTGTATGTACCTGTAACAAAGGGACACTTGCTGCCCAAAGGCGTTTGCAGTCTAAGGAGGACAGGATGGAATTTGGTTCTCCTTGTCCCTATGCGCCGCTTCCTTTCACTCTCCCACCTTGACTTGTGCAGGGCTCCCCTTTGGATCTCATAAGCTCCCCAGCATCTTTAGTGATGTCTGTAGCAGTGCAGCAAGAAGGGTGTCAAAGTAGCCAGTGTGAAGGATTCTGGGGAGCGTCTTCCCCTTTAATCTTTGGACACTTTGCCAAGACTGGCTGTAAAGGAGGCTAATTATGATGGCAGCTTTTTGTGGCATGGGCAACTGTCCGGAGGCAGTTCAGGCTGAGACCCACCGAACTCGCTTCACGCAGACCACCAGATGACTCTGCATCAATAGGCTGATTTTCAGGGGGAGCCTGAATTCCCAGTGCAGCAGCAAGCTGGAAATTGTACACAGAGAATGTTCTGTGTGTGTCTCTGCAACACTCCCCATTGCAGAGAGTAATGGGATGGGGGCAGATTTTATTCCGGGCTTCTCTGGTTGCTGAATCTCCTCTAGCACCACAGAGCTCCTTGGTCTGATTGACTGTCACCATTTCCAGGGCCACTGTTCAGTCCTGCCCCCACAGGTCCCATCCTGCCCTGGGACAGTCCTCATCCATCTGAAATCTCTCCAGGTCCAGCTGGGGGCCAGTCTGGAGGCTGCAGACAATCACAGCCAGGCCGGCTGCACTCTGGCGACTGACTCAATCCTGGCTGACACCCCGGGGGATCTTTGTCTCCCGGAGGAAGAAATAGAGACGGTATGAGCTAATCCGTCCCCCACTTTCAGCTCTTCCCCGAGGCTAGACGTGTTGAGAGATGCGATTGAAGTCCCTTCCTCGTGCCCACCTGGCATTGATTGACAATGGATTGCCGTTAATTCCCAAACACCCCCCATAATCCTTGGCACCGGCTGCAGTAGCGCATCAAAGGAGTTTCCAAGACGACCGGCGCAAAAGTTTGTGGGTAGCATCTGCATGGTCCATTCAGTCCTTTGGACTCCGCCAAGGCAGTCCAGGAGGCAGCTAAGTGCAGCCAAGAGGGATGATGGGGAATGTGATGTGGGCATTTGTCCAGCAGCAGCAGTCGCACTGTTCCATCGCTGGTGACGTCGAGGTGCAAGGCTGCTGAGATGGGAGTCTGCCCCCTCTGCTAACGTAGCGAATGAATAAAAGGGCGCGTGGGTCACAAGTGTGTTTCATGTGTTCCATGGTGTGGAACAGGAGGCAGTCTTGTCTAATGGTTAGAACACTGGACTGGGACTCAGGAGATCTGGAATCTGTTCCCAGCTCTGCCACTGGCCTGCGGGGTGACCTTGGGCGAGTCACTTCCCCTCCCTGTGCCTCAGTTTCCCTGTCTGTAAAATGGGACTCATGACACTGACCTCCTTTGTCAAGCACTATGAGCTCTAGGGATGAAAAGCACTAGCTAAGCGCTAGGGATTGCTATTACAGTAGTCTCCCAGTTGCTGTGAGACAACAGAGGGATTTTATTCCTGCAGAATCGCCTCTGAAGCTGCAAAGTTTGATTGCACTGTTGGAGCTTCTGGTGCTCCTGTTTCGTTCATGCACACACAGCCCCGCCCTCCCTTGGGACAATCTAACTGTTCCTCCCTCCATCTGAAAACTCCACAGGTCCAGTTGGAAGCCAGCCACGAAGCCACAGACCGTCCCAGCCAGGCCGGCTCTGATCTAGCTGCTGAGCCACCAGCCCCACCTGAAACTACAGAGGAGCTTTATCCTATCAGAACAGAAGATGCTGAGCTGGTATGAACTGACCCTTCTCCTTCACCTTGGATCAGATGCTCTGGGGCCTTAGGATAAGGTGGGGTTTGCTGCCCTCTTCCCACACATTATCTGCTTCCATTTGCCTGCCCCATCCTGTGGAACTGATGCTTGTAGTCCCCAGAATCCTCTGCACTATCCCAACCGTGCATCAGTGGAGGCAAGAAGACGAACCCACCTGAAGGGTTCTGGGGAACGTTCCCATGGCCCATCCAGTCTTTTGGCTTTGATTTGTCAGTGTCTTCGCTGCCGCCATTTCACTCCATGCATTGGCAAACCCACAGCCCCCATGCTCTGGAATGGCATAACCTCCCTCGCCCCCTCTGTAATCTCCACAGCTCCAGCTGGAAGACAACCTGAAGGCCCCGGATCTTCTCAGCCAGGCTGTCTCTGCTCTAGCTACTTTACCTCCAGTCTGGTCTGAGATCACAGAGGAGCTGCCTCCAGTGGGAAAGAAAGAAACTGAGCTGGTATGAACTGACCTGTTTGCCCCCATTCTCCCAGGTTGGCACCTTAGGCCTGGGAGGGATTAAGTCCTTGTCCAGCCCACTTTTGTTTCCTAAAACACCCCCAGAATCCTTTGCATGGGTGCTTCAAAGCAAGTGCCAAGGCAGTAGATTCTGGGAAGCATCCCCCGTGAGCCATTAATTTCTCGGCAGCTCTGCTAGGGCTGCCAGTGGTGGTGGCTTTTTTGCCAGGGGTGCCTGCCCACTGTGAACTGGGCTGAGAGCCGTCGACCTCTGTCAAGGCTGATTCCCCACTCTGGCACTTCGAGTGCAGAAGGTGGGGGCCTGCCAGGATTTTAAAAATTAATACTGGCCACTCCAGGCTTGTATTAAACTCCCAAGGTTTAACTTCTCTCTGACCTTGGATGGGTAGATGCCGCCACCACCCAAATGCAAAACCCCTTGGAGCCCGGGAAGGCGCACTCGGGAATTCCTTCCTGTGGGGTACCCTCAAGCCCTCCCCCCCCCGCCTCCGGGGAAGAGCTGAGAAAGAAAACAAAGGAAATTAGCTGCTTCCCCCAGCTAATTAAACATGTGCACAAACCTCTCAGGACACCAAAAATCCAATCCTGTTCTTAAAAAAGGTAAATTTTATTAAAAACAAAAAGAATGAAAATACATCTGGAACTTAGGCTTTTGCTAGATTTAAAAACCCACGTATAAAAATTAAACATCAAGAATAACCTTCTTGAGGTCCAGCTTCAAGGTTACAAGCCAAACAACAGCATTTGGGGTTAGCACGGAGGAGTCCACAAGCCAATAAGAAATAAACAGAAATAAACCTAATTGTGTCTTTCTAGACATTTTCTGATTCATGAGTAGGTTTTAGGTATGATCCTATGATTTCCATACCTGACAAAAAGCTTTTTACAGCCCTGTCTCTGCTCTGTCCCCTCTCTCCAAAGAACAACAGACCAGACAAAGGGAATTGGTTAGGAGCCCACTCCCTTCCTTTTACCTGTGGACTTTTTAACCCTTTACAGGTAAAGCAAGTAGAGAACAGCTACTAAGAGGGATTTTATAGCTAACTGGCTGGCTGGGTGTCCATAAAAGGGAGCTGCCTCCCGCTTCATTTATCACAACCTCCCTTCACGCAAGGGACAAGAACAGCGATCCGACTGTAGCGATTTTGCATCGCAGCTGATCTGGACTGGTGCCCATCTCTGGCATCCCCTGTTCTTTTTTTAAAGGGAAACTGCCCCTTGCTACCCAGACAGGAAGCTGGGGCAGGTGGCGTAAAGCTCAGAAAAATGCTTTAAAATATTCTGCAGCCATCCCTCTAATGCTCCCACTTTCAGCAAGCGGTAAGGGGGAAGAGTTTATCCCTGGCTTCTCCACTCATGACTATTGGATTTGACTTTGGGACGATTTGTCAGTAGCCCTCTTCACTCATGTACCTGCAAACGCCCAACCCTGTCTTCCCCCCGAGCAGATTAACCTCCTTCCCTCACCCTGTCTGAAATCAACGCAGGAGCAGCTGGCCGCTCATCAGGAGGACGCAGGTTATCCTTACCAGGCCTGCTCTGCTCTGGCTGCCCCATTGGAGACCATGGAGTACCTTCGTTCTGCTGCCATACTGGCCAGAAAGGAAGAAATTGAGCTGGTAAGTTCTAACTGTCCCCTCTTGCTCACCCAGGAGCAGGGTAGGACCTAGATGCATTGAGGCTCTTGATGTGTGCAGGATCTAGGTTTCCCTTCCCCTCCCGAACCACCTCCGCCATCTGCATGGCTTGCCCCAAATCCCTTGCAACAGCTGCAGTGAGGGCTTCAAAGCAGGTGCAATAGGTTCGGGGGGGGGGGGCGTCTCAGACCTTCATGTGTCTGCTATCCATGAATGACCAGCGTGATCCTGGGTTGGGAAGAATGAGGTTGGAGGCAAAACCCCACTGCCAGCCCGGAGCAGTTCAGGACGAGTGAGTTTGGTGCCAGGAAGTCAAAGCAACCTCACTCCTACCCCCGTCCTCCTCCTTGCTTTGTTTTCTTGTGCCTGTGGCCATCACGGCATGCGAAAAATATTCTTCCTCCTGGATTCACACTCCACTGGGGAGTGGATTAAACTGCCAGGGGCTGGGGGCAGTCTGAGGGCTGGCCCTGTTTCTTAACACTCCCTGGTGATTGGCTGGCTGGCCCATCTGTCCGCCCCTGCGGCTGAGGCTTCAGAGCCTGACCCCTTGCAAGGCTCTGGTGGTAGCAAATGTTCTGGGCGGAGGGAGGGACCCTCCAAACAGAAGCGGGGAGAGGTCCTCGGGCCGCCCAGCAGAGGTGTGTCATGACAGCAGCAGGGATCAACGAAAGCACTAATTATTGCCCCAGCCCTAGGGGGTGCCACTGGCCTGAGTCGTAGGGTAGCTCTGATCATTTTCACGGGGCTGCCCATCGGGCCTCAGGGGGGAATCTCAGGCACCCAGGTTGAGTTTAGGGACTTGCCTGCCTACCGCCTCGTCTGACAAGCTCCCCTTCTCCCCTCCCTGCAGTCCTACCAGCAGTCCAGCCTGGCCTTCGCTGTGGTGGCCGCCATGCTGCTGCAGAAGGAGCCCTCCATGGAGGCGGCGATGGGCTCTGCGCTGCGGGCCAACCTGCGGCAGGTCGGGGGCCACTGCCTGCGGGAGCTGGAGCGCTTCATTAGCAGCTACGACTCGGGCTCCGCCCGCTTGTGAGAGGCAGCACAGCGGGCAGCGTCTGCTCCGGCTCTGAGCCCGATGGGTGGTGGGTGAGAGCGATGGCGGGGGAGGGGGGGAGCGCTGCTGGGGACTGGGGCTGGAGCCCCAGCAGCGGGCCGGGCTGGGATGAGAAACCAGCAGCTGCGGACTTGAGTGGCTGCAGCTGGAGATGACGGGGTGGAGCAGAGCCCCCAGCGTGGAGGGCTGCAATCACGGTGCTGATGCGGGCCAACGGCGTGGAATGGGAAAGGGGCCGTTGGCTTGAAGTGGCAGGGAGAGTTTGTGATTTAGGAGGGGAGGGGACTGCCTGGGGGTAGGGCCGAAGGGGTCAGTAGCCGTGGGGATGGATAAGTGGTGCCAGAGGGGCTGGGGATGGGTGGAGGGTTCTCGGGCGGGGCTGACAGAAGCCGAGGCTGTGAGTGATGAGCGACAGCCTCCTCGGGATAATACTTGCAGCGGTTTCACCCGGCCAGGATCAGGGCCCCTGAGCCTCATGGTCTCCTTGAAGGAGAGGAGTCCCCGCTTGGCTTCCCTGAACTTTGAAATGTTTCTTTGTTTGTTTGTTTCTGGCGAAAATTGTTTTATCTCTGAAAAATAAAATAGCAGGCGGAGGGCAGAGCGCCCCCCTGCAGCTGCCCCTGCGCCATCAGCATTCCTGTGTCAGTCTGCTCGAGTGTGAATACAGCCGCTCACAGACGGAGCCACTGAGGGGAGTTAACGGGGAAGCTGGTAAATAAGGCAGCAGCTGTTTGGTTGAGGCCATTACAAGCTTGTTTCAAAACATTCAGTTTGGGGCGTTTCTCCCGTAGGAGGAACTGGTGGCTCTGCTTGGCGCAAGGTGTGATGCAGGTAGCTACAGGAGGTGGGATTTTTAAAGGAGCTCAGGGCTGGATTATTTTCAAGCCCTCAGCACCCAGTGTGCTGGGCTCTTCTGTCTGCTTAATTTTCTGTCTAAATCGGAGCTGGACTCTTCTAAAAATATGGCCCTAGGCCAGCTTAATCCTCAGTCCCAAGGCAGCTCTACGGAAGCATGGCCGCCCTGCTCTTCTGTGATTGCAATCCTGGACTCCCTACCCAGCTCTGCTGATGCACTTCGCTCCTGACTTGCAGCTCCCCTGCTCTTCCATACCTGGGCTCCTTCTGCCAGCCCTGCAGCACTCCCACCCCCTCCTGTTTAAAAGCTGTGCTCTATCCCGCCAGCATATTCCGTGCCAATGACTTAGATCTGGTCCACGCCTAAAATTTAGGCCAACCTGATCCCTTGTGCAGACGCAGGCAGGCCAACGGAAGGATTCTTCCATCGAGGCAGCTATCGCCTCTCAGGGAAGCACATTAACGGCATGGATGGAAAAAATTCCTTCCGTGATTGTGGGAAGCACTACATAGCTGGGCTTCTACAGCAGCTGTAGTGTAGACGTACCCTGAGTGGAAGGGAAGCCCCTTGCGAGCAGCGACTGGACCCCCTTAATGCAGTGAGGCCCTTTCCTTCTTCCTCCTGCAGGCAGCAGACAGGCAGGTGGCAGAACATGTCCCACCCAGACCTGCTTCTCTTATTCACACGCCAACCCCTTTCAGGTCCATTCAAAGTTCAGGTCCATTCAAAGTTCAGGTTGAACTTTTTTGGTGAAGCTTAGGAACTGATCTCTTGAATACTCTGGCACATTCACAGTCTGCCCCTCACCACCCCCGGGCTGGGGGCGCTTCGTTGCTTACAGTTTGATTGGAGGATTTCAAAACCCTTCTTCCCTCTCCAAAGTCCAGTCATCCTCCTTCAGAGCTTTCACCGTGGGGGAGAAAGCCGCACTCGGCCCTGAGCTGAAGGATCCGGTGTCCATCTTTGATCGGTCCCGGTGGGCTGGCGAAAGGGGCCAGGCCACCCCTGAATGTGCGCACCTCCCTGAACGGGATTCTCAGCAGGGAGGTCCTCAGAGCAAGAGTTCCCCTTTGCCGGAGCAGCCAAACCGAGCCACCTGTGTCCTGCCCCTCCTGTGTCCTGCCCCTCGGAGCTCTCCAGTGCTTGCAAAATCCTTTGATAGGGCAATGGAGAGATTTGGATTGCAGGCACCGTTGCTGTGTTAACAACCCCACCCCCCCTGCATTTCACAGTGAAGCAGGCTCTGGAGAACAAACAGGGCTGGCTGGTTTGACTTTTCCCATGTCTGGGTGTGAGGTAAGAGAGGGGATGTTTGTGCCTCCCCCTGAGGGCTGTCTGCCTTCCCCTCCCCAGCTTGCTGTACCTGTTCTTCATCATGGGGCTACTTCTGGTCCCCTGGCTTGTCTACTGGGGGGACCCTCTGGTTAAATACACTTGGCTAAGTAACAAGTTCTTCCTCCTGCCATCCACCCCCTTTCTGTCCTTTCCATGCTGCCTGGGGAGCCCTTGCTCTTTGCCCAGCCTTCCCTGTGCTAGGAAATGCTGCAGTGTTTGCGGCTTCCTCGCAGCCTGGCCAAGTGCTTGCTCCTTCCTGCAGCCCTGCCAAGGCCGCTCCGTTCCCTGTCGGGGAGGGCTGGCCCAGCCTTCGGGATCGGTTTCCCAAAGAAGAAGCCCTCCTGCTCCGAGTCTGAGTCCGAGGAGGAAGAGCAGGTCGGGCACCAGGAATCTTCTTCCTCCATGACATCCGGTGGACGGGCATCCTTGAGCGATGGGCCCGGGCTCTGTCGTGCTGCCGGACTGGGGTCAGTGGATGAACTGACTCTAAAGCGCGGAGCTCCCCGGCCTGGGGGAAGCCTTGCGAGCGTGCTCCCTGGGAGCTGGTCGCCCAAGGCCCCAGGTCCATTCAGACCCAGTTCACTGGGCAGGGTGGTGGAGGATCGTTCCTGCCCCGGGGGAGCGGCAGCTGCTTGTGACAGCGCGCTGGGGAAGGGAGTTCCCTTACTGCTCTCCTGGAATGCTGTCCCGTGGCCATCCTGGCTTCTGCGTGCGGGGCGCGTGGAGGCTTGATCTGGAGAGTCCTCCATCTCTGAACGAGGGGAGAAGGAGAAAGAAAAGGATCCAAATGTGCCCCTCACCACCATGCCCCCCATCCCCGCTTGATGACAACTGCCGCACAATGCTGGAGCCCAAGCGGAGTTCTGCCTTGACATGTACATGGAAGCCGATGGGGCTGCGTACATCAGGGCAGGATTGTCCCCACCCTACGTCTTACGCTGTGGTATCAGCTGCTGGCCACCGCTGGAGATGTTCCCAAGGCCCGACCGGCTGATCTGTCCTGGTAGAGCCTATGGGCCTGATTCTGATCCTGCAGACCATGCAGCCTCCCAGGGACCTCACTGGTGTGGGCAAGAGCAGAATGGTCCTACGCTCGAGCCAGCCTGGACACTACATGCTAGCAGGAGGACATGCCCTGCCTCTTGCTGCTTAGGGAAAATTCCCTGTCCTGGCCGTGCAGGACCAACGTTCTCCTTGCCCCCAATTTCCGCCCCCCCCCTCCTGCTTTCGAAAGCGGCTCGCGTGTGACTGTACCCTCCGCCTCTGCCCTCCGTTGACAGGAATCGCCACCCATTGCTGGAGCCGGAGGGGCACTCCCTGGCCCCGGGGCGCTCCTGCCGCTCTTGCTGCTGGCCCGGGAGACAGGCGTTGAGTCAGGAGACGGAGCCGAGACGAAGGCGGAGTCGGACGAATCCGAGGCTGTGGAGGCCCCTGTCGCCTTCTCCAAGCTGCAGGCCTCGGAGCAGTAGAGGAGGTTGTGGTGGGACGTGACCGGCTGCCCTCGCAGCGGTTTCTGGCAGAGGGTGCAGCGGAAGCAAGAGGCCCGGGCATGCCAGTGCTGGCCTTGGTGAGTGGCCTGCTCGCTGTCCACACCTGAGGGACAGCACAACGAGCGACAGCCCACACAGAGCCGTTACAAGGGTAGGAGGCTCTTCCTCAAGGTGGTGCCCGTCCTCTCCCAGGGAGGTCTCAGCTGGGCCACCCCATACCCACTGCCTCCCATTCATTCTAATCCCTCCGCCCGGGAACGCTGGCTGCTCCAAGCCCCCCCGCAGAACCCTTCAGCCTACTCTGTCCCCCCTCCGACGCCTGGTGCGACTGGCCAGCTCAGAGCCGTGCCCGGTTTGCCTGCTACCTACCGATGAGCTCGCCGCAGGCCTGGCAGAGCTCTGCGTAGAGGCTCTCGAAGCAGCTGCAGCAGCAGGGTCTGCCGCCGTTCATGACGTACCTCTGCCCCCCAAGAGGCAGGTCGCACTCCAGGCAGCAGAAGTGCCCCAGATGCCAGCGCCTGCCCTCGGCCTCCATGCACTCGTCTGTGAAGATCAGCTGGCGAGAGAAGGCACAAGGGAGACCTCAGCCGGACGCCAAAGGTGGAGACGGAGCCCCCAAGCTGGTAGCATTTGGATCTGGGTTGGAACCCCTCCTCCTGCAAATTTTGGGGGATTTGAGCTTATTTCTGATGCTAAGATGGGGATGATCAAACTTCATGCTTCAGGGCATGAACGGGTTGTTGCCAGGGTCAGGAAGGAACCCGCCGCTGCCTCTGTACACCCCATGGACAGCATTATACAACTGGGCATCTTCAGCTTCCTCTGAGCATCATTGGCTGGAGCAGGACGCAGGAGTAGAGGGACCAATGGGCTGGTGCCATATGGCAGGGATACCGGACTAAACGGAGCCGAGGCCTAGCGTGGCATAGCAGTTCCGCTGCCTTCAAAGTGGGACACGGCCCCCGGTGCCTGCGCAGTCACTTGTGTGCCTACCTGATCGCATGCGGCGCAGCGTGGCCGGAAGAACTCCGCGTGGTGTCGGCCGCAGAAGATCTTCCCCTCCTGGTGGAAGTAGATCAGGTCAACCAGAGGCTGGTGGCAGGAGTGGCAGACAAAGCAGGAGGGATGCCAGCAGGACCGGTCTCCCAGCCTGGATGCAAAAACCCCCAGGTCCCCTGTGTTCAACCTCCTGCCGCACTGCAAGGCAAATGGATATCATCAGCCCCGAGAATTGTCCCGGGACCTGTGAGCTGGCCAGTGAAAGGGGCATAGCTGCAGGTGCTGATGGGCCCCAGGCTGCAGCCTCGCATGTCCTGGAAACAAAGGAGGTTGGAATGGGCATGGCAACGTCTTACCTTTTCACAAAGGCGGGCAGAGGGCACAAGGCACGCAAATCCCTGCCCCAGTGACTCCTGCCTGCGACGGGCGCTGAATGCTTGCAGTCGCCTCCTGTCCTCCCCCCCAAGGCCGGGGCAGTACCTGTCCTGGAAAGGAACCAGAAGATAGCATCACAGCAGCAGGAACATTGGGGGTTTCACCCCTGCAACCCAGTGCTCCAATGTGGAAGAAGTGCTTGGATGCTGTGGTGATGGGCATCGCATTGGAGCATAGGTACAAGTGCCAGGAGTTTGGATGGAGTTGGGAGCCCAAGTGGCCGAGCAAAAAATAATAATTTTAAAAAACCTAAAAGGCTGGCTGGCCAATCAAGACTGGAGGAACTAAGCTGAATGGAGCAGCAGTTGGGGGCCAGCATGAGGCCCTGCTCCCCTGCCCCTCGAACCAGCACTGGTTGGAGTGGTCACAGCTTTGGCCGCGATGGGCACATGTCTACATTGCAGAGCCAGTGCAGAATTTGGCATCACTGGCTTCTACTCAAGAGAATCACAGACTATCAGGGTTGGAAGGGACCTCAGGAGGTCATCTAGTCCAACCCCCTGCTCAAAGCAGGACCAATCCCCAATTTTTGCCCCAGATCCCTAAATGGCCCCCTCAAGGATTGAACTCTCAACAAGGGCTGTGAATAGCAGGGGCAGCAGCAGGCCAGGGATAAGAGGCATTGGCAGAGCAGAACATGGGGGATCCCAGAACTGGAATACTGGGGGGGGGGACGGGGGAGAGAGACTGCAAAGCAGGATTGAGAAGCATCAAAGCTGTCTTTGGAGTGGGAGGACTGGTTCCTCCAGGACAGGATTGAGGTGCACAGGATGATATGGGAGAGGGAGCTAAGGCTGGAGTAGCAGAGGGTGGCAAAGCCTGTGGAGTGGGGAAGAGCGAGCTTGGCTCATGCTGTGGAGTGATGGATGCATGAACCATAGCCAGCATACAGAATCCCCATGGGAAAGGCACTGCCCATCTTACATTGCAGTCCTGCGGGGGCAGCTGCCGAAGGAGAGATTTGATGCGGAGCTGGCTCCTGATGGCAGCAGGCACCGTGTCCGCTGAGGGAGAGTCGAAGCACGAAGATACCTGGGGAATTCACACAGGAGAGACGTGAAAAGATTTCCAGGGTATTAATAATGACAAATCAAGGATTAATAATTGGTCAATAATCGATCACCAATAATTGATGCAAATGTTAACGGTGATGATCCGTTTAGTGAGAGGAGCTCTCTCGAGTCTGGATTAGCTCAATAACAACAAGCCTCGAATAGATCAGCTTTGAGTGGATACATTGATTTAACAGTTAGTAAAGACAGCACAAACTCAGAGAGGCAGACGGTCGCTGACAACCTGTGTCCACTCTGCAGATGGTCTTACTTCCCCTGTGATTTCTTAGGCTAATTATACCCTTATCTCTTATTGTTTATCATTCCAATCCATATCTATTTCCCTCTTTTGGTGTACACATCTCCTTAGATTCTTTTCTAAGTTCCCTGTCCCCTTGTACCTTTCCAGCTGCCTCAACAAGATCTGATTAGAGATTGTTTGTTCTTTTTTTGGTAGTAATGTCGTGTTATACCACCTGAAGACATTTTGTGGTAACTGTCACTACACTATCGGCTGCAGCCGTTTTCTAAAACAATGGTTCTTAACCCAGGGTAGGCATAGGTCTTTCAGGGGGGACATCAATTCATCTAGATATTTGCCTAGTTTTACAACAGGCTACATAAAAAAGCACTAGCAAAATCAATACAGACTAAAAGTTCAGACAGTGATTTGTTTATGCTGCTCTATGTACTATACCCTGAAATGTCAGTCCAATATTTACATTCCCATTGATTTATGTAAGAATTATATGGTAAAAATGAGAGTGTCAGCAATGGTTCAGTACAAGTGTATTTAGACACCTTTGTATGTTTATGTCTGGTTTTGTAAGCAAGTAGTTTTTAAATGAGGTGAAACTCGGGGGTTCGCAAGACAAATCAGACTCCTGAAAAGGGTACAGTAGTCTGGACAGGTTGAGAGCCACTGGTCTAAAGTTACTGCTTAGTAAAACCCCTGCTTAAAATGAGCTTAACTGCAAAGCAGCATGGGACTCTTGCTCCTAAGCAAACCCCAGGTTCATTCTTTGGCCTGTTTTAAGTGTCAGCATGGCTATTAAATTCCATTGCTGGGTTAATCTCTCACAGGCAAAAGGAGAATGCAGATCTGGGCGTGCTGTGGACCTGAGCTAGGTCCCAAATAAAGGGAGTTGGATTGTCTCAGGATGTGCCTGGAAGTTTTGTTTCTTTCATGTTAGCAGCCTGCTTGCCGGAGAAATCCGGGCCTGAAATAAACGCGTTGGCAGGGCCGTCGGAGAGCAGTCGCACAGTCCCCATCAGCACTGTTCCCCTCCCTTGTATTTGCAGGCGCCCATTGACACAAGCCCCTAAGAAAGCCCAGCGAGACTGCACCCCGCTTACAACACTAGCCCTGCTCTGTCCTCGGCGCTGCGTGGATGCCGGGAAGCCAAGCGAGCGACCCTGTGATGGAATGGGAGGTTTAAGCGGGACCGGTTGCAGCCCTCTCCCCTCTTGGCTGCCACTGGGCGTGAGCCACTGTAGGGCTTGCACGGGAGTAGAATGAGTGGGTGGGGGGCCCAGCAGTGGCAGAGCAGACTGGGGGTAAGTGACATGGTGGCTCCCAGATGCACTGACAACAGCGACCCAGTGGGGACCGGAGGTGGGCGCAACAGCGAAGAGGCATGCTTCATTGAGGGAGGTGCAGCGAAGGTGGCCTGTTTGGCACGTGCAGTAGCCCAGGCTCAGATCCTAGGGGAAAGTCTCAGCTCCCCGATACCATCTCGCAGAACGCTGAGCGGAGGAAAAGCAGCAGGGGCTGCTGGGCCGAAGGAGGACTCCTGCCTACCTCTGCTGGGGCAGCGTCTGCTGCGGGCTCCAGGTACTCTTCCAGGGCGCAGCCGGAGTCACTGTCCGAAGAGGAGGTGGGTGCGAGGCCGGCGAGTGTCCCACTGCAGGGAGGTGTGTCTCTCTGGGGCCATGTAGGGCTCGGCAGGGACATCAGCAGGAAGCAAGAACTGAAACAAAGCTAAAGTGAGATGGGACAGGGCTGTTAATGGGGCAGGCAGGATGTCCAGGAAGGCTGGTGCTGCTTGGAGGGCTTTCAGATGGGACCTGAAGTCTTGTTATGGTACCTCTGTCCAGGCCAGGCTCAGCTGGTCATACAAAACCTATATGGAACCAGAACTCTTTTGACAGGTTTCAGAGTAGCAGCCGGGTTAGTCTGTATTCGCAAAAAGAAAAGGAGGACTTGTGGCACCTTAGAGACTAACCCATTTATTTGAGCATGAGCTTTCGTGAGCTACAGCCCACTGCATCGGTGGGAGGAGGTATTGTTTCATGGTCTCTGTGTATATAAAGTCTGCTGCAGTTTCCACGGCATGCATCCGATGAAGTGAGCTGTAGCTCACGAAAGCTCACGCTCAAATAAATGGGTTAGTCTCTAAGGTGCCACAAGTAGAACTTTTTTGGGGTCTATATGGGATAGTTACCTACATAGTGCCTGGATTCTTTGTGCCCCTACAGAACCTATATAGTGCTCGGTAGCATTGCAGAATTGGTCTGGTGCCTTTACCCATACAGAACACTTGAGAGCCTATGGAGAACCTGCATCATGAGTGCTTAGTGATGTATGTTTACCACCTTACAGAACTGATATGGAGCCTACTGTATATACATATGGCATCAAAAGAAAGCAGAGAACCTTCCATCTTTACTGCGGGGGGGGGATGAGCAATTCCACCCCAGAGGTAGCTGCATTTCAGTAGCAGGCAAAGCAATGCGGGGGTACACTGAACCTCCCGTGTCTCGAGCCTTTAGTGAAAGGCAAGGGAATTTTTCAGCTGAAGGAAGGATTATTCAGAGAGACCTTGGAAAGTTAGCTGGAGATAACAGGAGCTCTCTGGCTCAACTAATGACTGTGGAAAGGGTGCATGTTGCTTTGAAAAGCCGGGGGAGGAGGGTTGGATTCTGTGCTGAGCCATGGCTGGAAGGAATTAAAAGGGAGCCGTGACAGACCCTGGGAGAGGCCCCTGAGGTGGGAGGGAACCAGAATTGGATTTCTGTACCCAGCTGGAATGGACTCTGAGGTGCACATAGGCCAGGTAGGGGAGAGTTCCCCAGCTGGTGAGAGCCCTATGTTCCCATAGTTATCCCATGATTTCGCATCCTGTCACTCAGTGCAGCAGCAGGAAGCAGCTTTAATCTGTCTATTCCAGTTCAGTGGAAAATGATTATTTTTCCCTGCGAGCCCCCCACAGGCCTGTTATTAATCATCCTTCCCTCCAGCCCAAGCAGCCACCTAACCCAGCAGACACCGGGCACCTCTCCTAGCTAATGGCTACACTGTGGAAACCAGCCCCATCCCCCCTGCATCTCTCTTTCACCGCTGGCTTCCTTCCGCGCTTTGGTTTCCAAAACAAAGCCGAGATGTCAATGTGATGGCTCGCTCGTTCAGCTCCTGCAGTTCCTTGGATGCCTTCCCAAAGGCCGACACTCCGCGGCTGGGTTTCCTGTCCTAGCTCTGAGCGGAGAGAAACCAGAGAGCCTGGGGCTGAGGAAGAGCAGAGGTGGTGGGTTTGCAGGGCTATGACTGATCAGCAGCACTGCCCAGGGGAACGAGCTGAGGAATTTACGAGCCATATGACACAGATTGCAGCATGTGGGGGTTGTAAGGCATTTCTTGATCTACGCTGCATCCAGCCAGTCACCCCACTGGGCGAGAGTCCAGAGCTGGACAGACAAAGTGAGCTGCTGTGAGAAATCTCACCGGCATCACATCGTCACCCTCGCATCCCGCCTTGACACAAAGTGGCGGGACCTCCTGCCACCTGTAGAGGGTGAGGAGACCCGGTGGGCCGGCCTATATTCCACCCTGGTCCTGAGGCCCGCCGGGGATATAAGTTGGCGGTTGCTTCAGTGCCCGTGAGCACAGGCATATACTTGGCGCAGTTCACCCCTATCCCAGACGCCTGCCCCTTTTGCGGCGTGAGGGAAACCCTGGCGCACGTATACCTGGAGTGCGCCAGGCTGCAGCCCCTATTCCGGCTCCTCACAAATATTTTGTTACGATTTTGGTTGCACTTTTCCCCTCATCTATGCACTCCCTATACGTGGCCCCCTAAGCCACGAGACCTCCTGGTCAACCTCCTCCTGGCCCTGGCTAAAGTGGCCATCTATAAAACCAGGGTGAGGAGGTTGGCCGATGGAATCTCCTGTGACTGTGGGGCCTATTTCCAATCCTCCGTCTGTTCACGTCTCCGGGCAGAGTTCCTCTGGGCGGCGTCCACTGACTCTCTTGACGGCTTCGAGAAGCAGTGGGCGCTGTCCGGGGTTCTCTGCTCAGTGTCCCTGTCTGGTTCCCTTCGTTTGACCCTTTGACCGCACTCCTATCCCTGTTCTTTCATTAGTTGTCCCCCGTAATTAAGTCATTTCCAGGGCCTGTGGACCCGCCTCTTAGGCTGGAGGGGGGTCCTTTAGCACTTCCTGGATCCCCCCCCAAAATCAGTTCATTCATGAGGCCCAAGTCAGAGAGGGAGTCTAAGCTGCTGTAACTTATGCCTGGTGTCAGTGTCAGCAAAGTGTCCATCTTAACTCCCTTGACTTGGCTAATAGACGGGAGTCACACTGTAACTTTCAAAGCCAGCACACTCTGCTCCCAACTCCAGTGAACCGTGCTTGAGTTGCGTGGCCTGAGATATGTACCTCTGCAGCACCGCCATGATCCCAGCCCGTTTCCCACGTGCACCCCTCTGCAGTGGGCAGACCCATCTCTACTCCCAACGCGTACCCCTCTCCAGCATGCACACTTCTCTGTGCTCCCAGGCTGTTTCCAACAAGCTATCCAACAACCTGTGGAACTCGTTGCCAGGGGATGTTGTGAAGGCCGGAACGATAACGGGGTTCAAAAAATAATCAGCTAAATTCATGGAGGATAGGTCCATCAATGGCTATTAGCCAAGGTGACCAGGGATGCAATCCCATGCTCTGGGTGTCCCTAGCCTCTGACTGCTAGAGGCTGGGAGTGGACGACACGGGATGGATCCCTTGACGATGGCCTGTTCTGTTCATTCCCTCTGGGCACCTGGCATTGGCCACTGTTGGACGACAGGATACTGGGCTAGATGGGCCATTGGTATGACCCAGCATGGCTGTTCTTATCTTGTTCTCTATCCCCTTCTGCAACGTCCCTTTGGCATCTGCCCGATGACCAGCGTGTACCCATCTGCAATGCCATTTCAGCCTGCCCCTCTGCTCCACTATCCCACTGCAACACATGCCCTTCCACAATGCAGATGCCACTCCAAAGTACACCGCACTTCAATGTTTGTGTCTGCAACATACTCCCCTACCCTGTCGCCCACATCCCAGGATAACCTGCACCTTTCTAAGGCACAGAAATATCATCCACGAGTAGGATCAGCCTTACAGAAGGCATGTGAAGTAGGTCTCTTCCCCGCCCCCATCCCTCTTTTGTGACGCCATTCAGAAGAGCCTGGAATTCGGAGTGCTCCAGCTGTGCCTAGGAGAGCGAGCTTTGGACGGAGAGCTCAAGGGGTGCACTGGGGCTTTTAAATCCAGCCATCGGTGCAGCTTTTCGGGAATTCTTGGTTTTAATGAGGGAATGGCTCTTTTTCTGAGTCTCATCCACATGCCTCTCAGGGTCTCAGACCGGCTCCTCCAAGGTAATTAGCACAGGGAGCTCAGGTTTCTCTGTTGGGTGCCTGGGTCAATAATTAACTTAGCAGATTGGCCAAAGACCAGGAGGAAAAAACAAAAAGGACTGCTTGCCTTGTTCCCAGCACCCTGCTCCCAGGAAGGCAGCACCAAGTGGCAGGCTCTAGAATTCACTGCAAACTTGGAGGAGGGAAGGGAGATCTGTGGTTCCTCCAGAGAGACCACAATTACCGCTGGGGAAAAAAGGGGGGAACAGACACAAACTTGCCTGACCAATCTCTGCATTTTGTTGACCAAATGGCACGCCTGACTGGCTGGGCTGGCATCACTATGTGATGACACTGGTGTTGCAATGCCAGCAAGGGAGAGCTTTGCACTTCAGAACTCCATCTCTGGTGCATGAGCCTCAGAGGACAGAAGCCTTTCACTGGACTGGGATTGAGATCTGGATGCTATTCCTGGCTCTGCCACTGACCTGCTACGTGACCTTGGGCAAACCACTTTGGCCCAGATTTTCTGCTCAGTACTGCAACACCTAGCCTGGCCCCTTGGGGCCATGCTGCCTAGTGGTCCCAGCCCACTGTGCCCAAGCTCCCCATACAATGTATGGGGAGAATAGGGTAGGGGGACTCCCTCAAGCGCTCTGGGAAGCAGGATGGACTCCAAGCCCACCAGTGGTACTAGGGCCTTTTTTGGTGGTGGTTGGGTGGCCAGTGGCTGCTTTTTGGGGGTTTTTTGCATCTTGGCGGTGGCAGCCCTTGGGCAGCATTAGGCACCTAAGCAAGGCATCCTCAGAAGCCCACAAGCTGAGTGGGGAGCTGCCTATGGTCGCCAGAAATGAAATGCTGGGGAGAGGAGAAGGATTTGGAAACTTAAATGACTAACCTGATGCCCCGGGCTGTTGGGCCAGAGATTGGTGCCTCCTTCCACTCAGGTTCCTCAGCCTTGAACCCCATCCTGGAGTTATGCACCTAGGCCAGCTCAGCGGCTTAGGTAGCCCATGCCTGGACAGCTGAAGCAGTCTCTGCTGTTTCTTGCTCACACTCAGTACCTCTCTCGTTTGCCCTTCGGTTTCCCTGTGCCACCAACTCTCTTTTGCATGTGCTGTCCTACCGGTGGCCTGCCTCCAGTCCTTCCACTGTGGGGTCTGACAGGTAGCAGGTCATAGGTGTGTTCAGTGCACACCTACAGGATCAGGTCCCCCAACAAGATAGGAATTCCCTTGCCTGGTTTGAGAATCCTGCTTCAGGGCTTCCAGGGGTCCAAACCACTGGTTTGCTGCAGGGCAGCATTAGGGCTTTGTGGATGCTGTCCAGCAGGGGTTATAGGGATTTGGGCACCTACGGGGTTAGG